ACATCTCGAACCTGCGAACACCAGCGATTGAGTGCGTGTGTGGTGTGTGCGTGTGTGCGTGTGCGGTGTGCGTGTGTGCATGTGTGCGGTGTGCTATGTGCGCTGTGTGCGATGTGTGCGATGTGTCGTGTGTCGTGTGTCGTGTGTCGTGCGGTGTTGAGTGGAGGTGGGCGCACCACTTGAGGGCGATCTCCCCGAGGACGGTGGTGGGTACGCCGGTGAGGACGTGCCAAAAGTCGTGCACCTCGCGATACCGCTGCATCACGTAGGCCAGCTCCGCGTCATCCACGAACCGCACCGCCGGGCTGTGTCACCATGTCAGCCTTCACAACACACAACACACACAACACACAACACAGGCCCAGGAGATGTGCTGAGCGGGCGTCGTCAGGGTACCGCTCGTCGGGGGTGAATTCGTGTCCGCGCATCCATCGGGCGTAGGCCCCGCCCAGCGTGTCCTCCGGCATCGCCAGCAGCCGATCGAACGCCAGCGTGTCTTCCGTGATCCTGGGACGCGCCGTGTCAGCCATCACACGACACACACCGCCGCACACACAACACACAACACACACACGACACATACCACCGCACACGCACGCACCTGGGCTTGGTTTGCAGAATCTCGAGGCCGACGGGGTGAGCGGCCATGCGGGCGTGGAGGGCGCGAAGGGCGGACGGGCCGGTGGTCTCGCCCAGCGTGGCCACCATGTCGGCCCGCTCCGGGTTGATGATGGCCGCCAGCGCGGAGCCCGCCGCCAGCAGACCCTTCTGGAAGAGCGACGTTGGTCGATGGTTGGCGTACAGATTACAGCTCGCATCGATGATGGGCGGCGGTGCCGCGGTGCGCTGTGGCGTGGCGGCGGTTGATGCGGAATTCGAAGAAAAAGATGAAGATGAAGAGGCAAAGCGAAGAGATGTTGAGGTGGCAAGCGCAGTGGCACGAGGGCAGAGCCTACAGCACATCGAAAGCTGCCCTCCTCTCTTCATTCTTTTTTCCTTACTTTTGATTTATAATACACACAATTTTAATTCGAATAAAATTTGTTGAGAGAAGAAAAGAAAAGAAATGCTATTTCCTATTGTCGGGAAATAAAAGTACGGCCTTTTTGCTACTGGTCCGTCAGTCGGGCAAATCTGTGGTGCTCGGCAACAAGTCTCGTTGTCTTCACTCAACAACAAATAAATAAGTCAGTTCGACCTTGACACCGTCGCTAAACAATCCCACAAACGAAAATGTGTTTCGAAGATACGTGCGGGTGCTGCTACAACCTGTGCAAGGCCCTCCTCTTGATCCTCCTGTGGCCGTTCACCCTCATCGTGTGCCTGCTGGGCGTCATCATCTTCATCATCCTGCTTCCGTTCTACATCTGCAGCAAGTGCTGCTGCTGTCCTGGCTGCTGCCTGGTCAACTGCGTCGAAGATCACATCGTGAAGAAGATGATCAAGCTCCCGCTCCTGGTGTGCCTCACCATCTGCGCGAGCTGCGGCTCGGCTGCCGACCGCACCCACGACATCGTCAAATAGATGAACGGACAAATCGCGAAATCGACAGCTTTCATCCATTCACCAACAGACAACTCAGGGAGCAGGCGGGAAGAGAGAGAAGAAGAGGTCGACGGGCACGAACTGGCGACTGCCGAAAACGAGACCCGGGGCGACCGACCAGGAGGAGCGAGCGAACAAGGAAGAAGAGAGAGCGTCCCATAAGATGAAGAAGACGGCCGAAGGCGAATCCAACAGCACGCAGGCTACTACTTATTATTTTATTATATTTTATTTGCTGTACTTGATAACTGGGGGCGTTGCACATACAAGACAAAAGAAGAGGACTATTTTGTGAACAGGCACACGAGTCAACCACCTTGGCGCCTTTGTGGTCTTTGAATTATATGGTTGATTGGTTGGTTGTGGTCATTTGTACAAGGCTCACCTCCTTTCCACTCCCTCTAAGCACCCGCCCCACCTCGTCTCGAGCGCTCGATGTGTCATTAGCTGGTTTGACCCTTGGTCGAGGGTGGTCGTGTTGAGATCACACGATCGCCCTCACAAACGGGCCACCACCACGGTGACGTTGTCGGCGCAGAGCGAACTGGAGGTTGCGGACCGCACAAGGCAGGACGCCATGTCCTCGACCGAATCCATGCCCTCCACGATCTGCATCGCCTCCTCGCCCGGCATCACGTCCCACAACTACACGCACGCGCCAGACAACCAATGCTGCATCAGTACCAGCAGCAACTATGATAATAATAAATAACAATAACAAGTGTGAACCGAAGAGACTGGGGGGACGTACGCCGTCACTGGCGACGATAAGCATGCTGTCCTCGTCGGTGAGTTCGATCGGCTGGCACACGTACGGCTCCGAGATGAGGCCCAAGCCGTTCTCCTTCATGAAGTGATCGCCCAGAGCCCTGCTCACGGCCAAGCCTGTGAGGAAAAAAATGAGGAAAGTGAGGGCCATCAGCATGTTGGCTATCGATTTCATGGAATACAAGCGCAGGCGCGCGGCATAACACGGTGAGGTACCATTGATGCGAGTGGCGCCAGCGCTGAGCTCAACGCCCATACCGACCAGCCTCTCCCTCTCTCCTTCGTCCGTGACCTTGTGGTCATACGTGAGCTTGACCGTTTGATTGCCGCGTCTGTTTGGGCAGTCAGCGGGGTGAGTAATCTAAAAATCCG